TGGGAAGAAAACGGACTTATCTGTAGGCGGACTTACCTGATGGGAGGAACTTATCTGATTTTAGAGTGATATGCTTCGATAGCGAAAATAAAAATCACTGAGGAGGACACGGTAGAAGAAAAAAATGTACAGAAATATGAAAAGGAATCAAATACTATCAAAGATGCAGCAGCTTTAGCCGAATGAATACATACCGTATTTTCTTTCATCCACTTCTCAAGTTTCGGGCCTTTGTCCGGCTGAATATCTACCACACGGAAGCGGAAGCGGCTTATCATTGATGGACTATCGCTAAGTGAAACCTAAACGTTCGCTTCGAGAATATAATACTGAAAATATTTCTTTCTCACCACAACGGAGCTTTTGCAATATGGAGACAGATGAAGAAGCGAAAGAGCTCCATGTGGATCATCGATTAGCCCAAGGTCATCACTTTTGAATACACATGGATAACCCTCGATAGCTTTCACGGTGGTTTTCATCTAAACAACACCGGACGTGATAAAAGGTTGATAGACTTGTGGATCAATAATAGGATACCGCAATAAACTGACAAGCCCATTCAAAGCTAAGCGTAGTATACGAGATTTCGTTTTATAACGCGTGACTATGAATCGCTTCTCGAAATCGTTCCACACAGCGTCAAACTCACAGTTGACACCCGAAATGCAAACAATATTGATGTAAACAAATAAATAAGGCTCAAGTGTGGTACCTGTATCAAGATCAAGAAAATCCTTATTATTTTTGATTAGAGCCACAACAATCTCATAAGTTGGCAGTTTACTACAGTACAGCAGTCTGCCGCCAGTACAGACTCCTTCGTAATTATATAGCTCCTAGGTTATGTGAGATAGAATTCTCATATACAAAAAATGAGTATTTTACCTGTTTCCAGCCACCTTTGTACTTATTAATATCGGGCTCCAGTATTTGGTTTTCTATATCGTCATCATTCAAAGGTATGGTTAACGTAGTGTACTTTGAATGGTTGCGATTCCAAGGCTGAA